ACTGCTTATTCAGCTTGGGCTTAGAGCCTCAATAGGGCAGACCCCATGCCTTGACACTCTCCTCACCCTCTGAGGTACCGACTCATTAGCTTAACCTTCATTGAGATGTGGCTTTACCTTATTTTGGCTCTGATTTCAAACATTTCCCTACATCATTGCCTTCCTCATCTCCTATGGATCCTGACACCCATGGTAGGCTGTCCCACTCCAGTGACACCCTCCTTACTTTGCTTTGGCTGTGACTTCCAAACTAACATTTAACCAAAAAATACTCCTTTCCTGTCCATTCCTGCTATGAAACCTCATGCCCTCCTCACATTGTCTGGGCCCTGACACCTTAGGTCAGAGCCTAAAAGCACTGTACTCTATGCCAGATGTGTACTTTGTACTGCTGTACTCTTAATACTGAACTTTTCAGAAAGGTACAGTAGAAGAAGAAGGAGTGGGAGGAGGAGAAGAAAAAGAAGAGAAGGGAAAGAAGGAGGGGGAAGAGAAGGAGGAGGAGAAGGAAGAGGAGAAGTAGAGGAGGAGAGGAAGGGGAGGAGGAGGAAGACGAAGATGAGGAAGAGAAAGAGGATGAGGAGGAGGGAGAAGAGGAGGAGAAATAAAAAGAAGGAGGAAAAAGAGGAGAAAATGTAGAGAGAGAAGATGAAAAGTAAGAAGATTCTAATGTCATACTTAATGGTGAAAACAAACAAACAAAACAACAACAACAAACCCCGAACATTTTCCCATAATACTGGAATAAAAAGAGGTTGTCCTCTCTCACCACTTTGCATTGTATTGGAGGTCTCTGCCTGTGCTGTAAGGCAAGAAAAAGAAATAAGAAGCATCCAGATAGGAGAAGAAGAAGTAAATCTGTCTATAATCACAGATGACATAATTTTTTTACATAAACCTAAGGAAACTACAAAAAATAAATTCTATTAAGATAAGTACATTGAGCAAGGTTTTAGGGTGCAATGTAAATATATAAAAATTATATTTCTATATATTATCAAAAACAATTTTATTTATAATAATAATATAATTTATAATAATTTATAGTATAATTTATAATATAAATATTTATAATATTTATTTATATATATTATAAATTTATAATGATTTATAATAACATTTATAAATATATAATATTTATAATAATATATTTTTATATTTTTATAATATTTATAATATTTATAAATATTATAATAATATAAATTTATAATAATATATTTATAATAATATAACATTTATAATTTATAATATTTATAATTTATTTATAATAATATAAATATGAAATACTTAGGGATAAATTTAGTGAATCAAATGAAGACCTTTGCATGTAAAATTATAAAATATTTTTGTGAAAAATTAAAGAGTGCCTAAATAAATGGAGATATAGAGAATTTTCCTAGATTGGAAGATTCAGTATTGTCAAGCTGTCAGTTTTCCCTAAATTCATCTATAGATTTCATGTAACATAAATTAAAATTCCATAAGTCTTCTCTATTGAAATTAATAAAATCATTCTTAGTCTATAAAAACACAAAGACCTTGACAAGTCAAAAACAATTTTGGGGAAGAAGAGCAAAGTTGTATGAATTATGATACCTGATTTCAGTATTTACTTTACAACTACATTAATCAAAGCGGTATGAAATTGGTGAAAGAATACACATATAGGTCAATGAAACAGCTAAATAAAAGATCAACATAAAAGCAATTGATTTTCAACATATATATAAGGGGAACTCAAAGGGAGGAGGAATAAGATTTTTAACAAATTATGCTGTAACAACTAGATATCCATATGGAACAAACAAACAAACAAGAACTTTGATTATTACTCATATCATCCATAATATAAATATAAGTTAAATAATACATTTAACTTCTTAAAGAAAGCATAGAGAAAATCATAACTTTTGATTAGGGCAAAGATTTCTTAGGTAGAATACCAAAAGCATGAACTCTAAAGGAGAAAGGTTATTAACTGAAATTCATCTAAATTGATTTCTTCTTTTCTTTGAAAAGTACTATCAAAGAAGTGTAACAGCAAGGCCACAGACTGGGAGAAAGTATTCACATTACAAATATCTGACAAGGGACTTATACTCAGAATATATAAAGAATTGTTACATCTTAATAAAAAAGAAAACTAGGAATACAATTTAAAAATGGGGAAATCTTATATATTCAAAAAGAAGAAAAAAAGAAGATATGAGTGGTCACTATGAAATAAACTATACTTGTTTATAGACTTGCATGTTACTAGGAAAATGCAAATTAAAATCACAATGACATGCTACTCTACCCTCACTAGAATGGATGGAGAGGATACGGAACAGCTTCAATTCTCATGCATTGATGTTGAAATGTAAAAAACCCTTAGCTACTGTGGAAAATATTTTTGTAGTTCCTTAGATTAGATTATGTACAATTCAGCCATTATACTCCCAGGCATTTACCCAAGATAAATTAAACCATATATCCATAAAAGACCTATATATGACTTTTTAATTTATCATTGCCCAAACAAGGACGGTTCAAAAACAGATTAATGGATAAATAAGTTGTGAAAGAGCCATACAATGGAACAACACTCAGGAGTTAAGAGAAACAGACTGGGATCTGCAATTTATAGATATTAGAAACTGGGTAGTAAAAGAAAGAATCCAGGCATAAAATAACATATACTGCATAACTCCACTTATGTGAAATGTTAGGGAAAAAAAAATCTGTAATGATAGAACTTACATCAGTGCTTGTCTAGAATCCCTGCAAAGGACATGTAGGTTTAAGGATTGAGAGGGAATTTGGGGATGATGAGAATGTATACTGGTTTATACATTTGTCAAGATTCGTCCAACTACATATGCTATGCCTCCAATTGACTGCATTATTTTTAAAGAGTTTTAAAATATATTGTCAGAAGCTTCAATGCTGTTTTAAAAAACCGGTTGATTCTCCATAAATAAGAGGCAACTGTGATCCCCGGCAGGGCATTTTTCTAAAAGACATATATACAAATAGGAGAAATAGACTGAAACATGAATGTGGAGGGAACGGCATAATAACACAGAACTCATTTTCCTTATAATTCCATTGAACATTAATAGAACACAGAATATAAAGTAGTTGTGAACAGACTTTTCCAGAAAACAATTAGGGAGCTATATTTATCTCTTAACCTATCTTAATATTAACCTTTCAGGTTCTGTGGTCACATTTTCTGTTCCAAAAATAAAATAGCTGATTTTTGAAAGACAATGATATTTAAAATTAATGCACATGCCAGCTTTTAGAATATAAGTCTAGATTTAGACATTTACCTACACAAAGTCTCAACAGTAGAAAAGAAGACCTTAATCTTTTTTTAAAAAGATTTTATTTATTTTTGAGAGAGTGAGAGCAGTGGGAGGAGTAGAAGGATGAGGACAAGCAGACCCTGCACTCAGCGGGTAGCCCCATGTGGGGTTCAATGGATGCTTAACCAACTGAGACACACAGGCACCCCAAAAACCTTAATCTTTATAGAAAAAGATAAGTAAATACAGAAAGGCAGTTACCTATTAATTAATTAAGTCCTAGAATGGCCCAAGAAAATCTATCAAGCACAAAAGTGAACTTGATTCGTAGGTTTTGCTGGTTGACCACAAGTAGGATTGTGTAACCATGTTCCTCAATATTAGAAATCTGAGGAACAGAGAAACTTTATTGAAGATTATTCACTAAAAAAAAAAATATACAACCTGTAGGCATGGGTGAACAGACACCCCTTAGGTACACTGGTGACACACAGGGCAGGGTGGCTTGTGGTGAACATTGGTCTGTTTCTTAGTCAAAGTACCACGGATCTTCTAATGAGAACCAAAGGATGGAAGCTTGTCATAGAGAAAACAAGTTTCCTTGCTTTTTATTAAGAACCACGGACAGCTCCACGCTGCACCAAAAAAAGCAAGTTACTTTCCCAAACCTGGAATGACAGCCAGGGTCTCCTCCTCTGATTTAGACTCCAGCTTACTGATAATAGGTGCATAATCAGGCCTCTCTTTACCATTCATTATAAATGTATTCATGTGAGGAGGGAGGGCCCAGCGCTCATATGAAATGTTCGAGGGTGAGAGTGAGAGGAATACTTTAATGAACCGATTTTTTGAAAATGGTCTTACAGTGCATAAATAATTAATAGAGCCGCCATGCGAGGGGCTGGATGATGGGTCAGGCGGGAAAGCCCGTGGGTGGGGGCAGGGGCGGGGATCCCCGCGTCGCTGTTTGAATGCTCAGTGGCTGTGGGGGAGAGCGGATCCCACCCAGATTAGGTCGGAGGAGCAACGCCATGTGCTCCAGGCTCCCAGCTCTCCTGCTGCCCATCTGGCTCTCCTGGACCCTGGGGACTCGAGGCTCTGAGCCCCGCAGGTGAGGTGGGGTTTTCCCCCCGACCCGCAGCCTCTTTCTAGACGCTGTAGCGCTCAGTCCGGTGGGCACAGGCTGTACTTCACCCACTGGCTTTTGGCCCATGTCGCAGGTGGGCGGGGGTCGTAGAGAGGGTCGGACCCAGGAAAGGGGCGGGGGAAAGCGGAGAGCGTTTCCCTCACCGCCTCTGCCCGTGTCGCCGTGGGTTCCCTCCTCTCCCAGTCGCAGGAGCTGGGACCGCGGGGGAGCTGGTTTCACCGCCGACCCCGGCCCTGCTCCGCGCCGCGCAGCCGCGGCTCCAGCTTGCTGTCCCCGGCGCGGCTCCAAGTCCCGCTCCGCTGCCGCGGTGTCGGGAGGGAGCGCCAAGGGCCGGGGCCACGGGCCGCGGAGTGTGCGGGGGAGGCCAGGGCGAGAGGCTCAGCCTGCTCCGCCTCCGGTTTGCCTTGCTTCCTCCCCCTCTCTCCGCTCCCCAGTCCGCTGCTCCTCCTCTCCCCAGGCCCGCTCCTCCCCCTCCTCTCCTCCCCCTCCCCCTCCGCCCTCCTCCGCTCGGGGCCAGCGCGGCGGCGGCGGCGGCGGCAGCAGCAGAAGCAGCCCCGGCTGCGGGTCGCGACGGCGGCGGGGCGCCCCCTCCCCCGTGCCGGGGCGCGGCGGAGGGATGTGGGGCTTTGCGGGAGGAAGGCTTTTCGGCATTTTCTCGGCCCCAGTGCTGGTGGCGGTGGTGTGCTGCGCCCAGAGGTAGGGTCGCGGGTGGGTTGACGGGAAGCGGGCCGGGCGGCGAGCAGGGTGCGCGGGTGTGCGCGCCGGGAGCTGGCGGGTGAGCCGCCGCCTGACCCTGCTATCTGTAACCCCTTGCCCCCTCCCCCAGCGTGAACGATCCCGGGAACATGTCCTTTGTGAAGGAGACGGTGGACAAGCTGTTGAAAGGCTACGACATTCGCCTAAGACCCGACTTCGGGGGTAAGTGGGGTGTGCGCGGCCGCTGCGGGAACCGCGCGACCCACAGCGCTGGCGGCCTGGGTGGAGGAGGGAGGCGGAGGGCGCTTAAGCCGAGCTGCGGCGAAGTAGAGGGGGTGGAGGGCATTTCGCTTGCTCCCACTCCTCGGGTAGGTACCCCCATCCTCAGAGCCACCCTCACCCTGTGCCCGAGCTTGGCTGATCAGTGTGTCGTGCTCTTTCTGCAGGTCCCCCGGTTTGCGTGGGGATGAACATCGACATCGCCAGCATAGACATGGTTTCCGAAGTCAACATGGTGAGTGCCCTCCCTCCCCCAGGGCTGTCCCTGAGCCCCTGCCCCACTATCTGGGCCCACAGTACTGGGCCAGAGGCCTTCTTTGACGGGGCCGCCCGCAGAGGGAGCGGCTCTCCGGGAGCCAGCCCCCAGCTGGTGCGGCTTCCTCCATCCGCACGGTGTGCGCGGGGGGCGTCGTTGGCGTTGGTGCCATGAGGAGGGCGCACCCTTCCTGCGGAAGGAAGGGGTCCTGGGCTGGCCTAGCGCTGGGCTTTCACCGCAGCCCTCGTGCTCCCAGCTCCTCCAGGGGTCTGTCACCTGGTCCTGAGGCTTCCCAAGTGCAGTCTCGCCTCCTTAGCAACAGGCGCTGGGGAGCTGGGGAAGAGAGGCGAGTTGTGGGGGTGGCTCATATTCTAGGTAAGAGGTACTTACGGTTTCCTTTGTTGTATTTTGGAAAGAGATGTTGGCAGCTGGAGAGAACCAGGGACAGTGGTCTGTGTATTCTAGGGTGTCTCAGGTCAGTTTCCTTGGTCTCTGGCTTTTCTAAGGGCAAGCTCTTTGGCTGTGAATCCCGGAACCCCGCTCCGCCAAGTCGCTGTCGGAGGTGCTGACGGAGACCGGGCGGCTCTTGAGAACTGGGGGGCCTGGGCAGCAGGCGGGCAGCTCTGCCAGGAGAGTTGAAGGCTAGTGAGCCCAGTATCACTTAGATATGTTCATGCTGTCAGGGTTCAATATCGTAACTTGTGGAAAGCAGAGAGGTCCGTGTCCCGAGGTGTGAAGTGGGTACCGTGTGTGTGTGTGTGTGTGTGTGTGTGTGTGTGTGTGTGTTGTTTGTTTGTTTGTTTGTTGCTCAGGGCACTTTAGGACATCAGGGAATAAGGGCGGGGATGACCCCTTTCATTTGTTAATTGAGCTGAAATATCCTGGGATTTGGAAACAGACTTAATTTTCTGTTGAGTGGCACTTTAGAAATTGTACGAATGAACATTTGGAAACAGTATTTTTTGGGAGAAACCATTGGTGACTTTTCTTTCCAGCATAACATCGAGGATATAATGAGGCATGGTTTCAGATAGACCCAGGAAGTTTCTCAAGTCTGGTATATGTCAGAGTCACCTGAGCAAACTTGTTTTAAATGCATACTCCCAGGTTCCTCGCAAGAGATTCTGATCCAGTCGTGAAGAGGAATCTTGGGATCTCTGCATTTAAAACTAGTGCTTCACACTTTTTTGAAGTAAGGATTTTGTGGACAGCATTTTGAGATGCATCATCATAAACAGAAATATGGACATTTATAAAAATTAAAACTGTTGTTTTGAATAGACTGCTTAGCAAGATATATTTAAAATACATACTACTGTGGATTTTGTAGGAAGAAATCTCTGACCACATAAAATTAATTTCATCAAATTTTCACTCTTAATCTAAAGTTTTAAAATTATATGTGTTTTAAAATCATGCACTTTTCTTTCAATGTATATCACTTAGGACATTTTTGTACAAGGCATTATAATCATAAGTGTTAGTAAGAAACACAGAGGGAATAGCACTTAATATAACATTCAAAATTAACCTTACATATGTTTTTATAATCTTGTAAAAATGATCCTTCCCAAAAGGTATGCTTTTTGATCTTAAGTGAACTAAGTTGACATAATCTGTGATTTTCTCAGTTGAGAATTTCACATTCTCTAGAGACAATCTTTATGGAAGATAATTGGCTATTTAGTGGATTATTATATCAAAAATCTGTATATTGGATGTAAATGAAAGAGAAGGTATGTTGATGTGGCTCTTTAAGAACTTTATACAATACTAAAACAACCAGATGAATAAGAAGAATGTGTTCTTGTACACTATTGCACATTTTCTTTGAGTTAACTTTTTTTTTTAAGATTTTTATTTATTTATTTGACAGAGGGAGACACAGTGAGAGAGGGAACACAAGCACGGGGATTGGGAGAGGGAGAAGCAGGCTTCCCGCTGAGCAGGGAATATGATGTGGGGCTGGATCCCAGGACCCTGGGATCATGACCTGAGCCAAAGGAAGACGCTTACCGCTTGAGCCACCCAGTTGCCCCTCTTTGAGTTAATTTTTAAGTTTAGTTATCCAGTTGTCCTCATACTGATACTTGGTACCTTTGAAAACTACATCAATAGTTGCCTAATTCATGCACCATGAATTGAAGTGTCCCAATTTTCTTTGGACCCAATAATAGAAAGGCAAATTTAAGATACAAGCCATTATACTAAATAATCTTTAGTTTAGTTTATATCCCAAAGCCAATAATTATGCATAACTTAGGCATAGTATACTTGTATGCATTTTTTTGCATTCTCATAATGCTAATTTTTGTAGTTCTATAAACATATATTCATTGTAAACAAAAACTGAGAATTGATAAGAATGGAGACTTGATAAGAATTAGACATTGAAATATCTTCAACAAGTGGACTGAGTAAAATCTTATGCTAGAAAAATATGATTTCTCTTCACGTATTTGCTCACAATTATAGTTATGATATTTGACCTATTATTTTTAAAAATTTATTTATTTATTTGAGAGAGTGAACATGCACTTGCACACACACGGGGAGAGGGGTAGAAAGAGAGGGGAGAGAGAATCCCAAGAAGACTGCTGCTGAGCACTGAGCCAGTGTGGTGTTAGATCAGGACCCTGAGATCACAAGCTGAGCTGAAACCAAGAGGTTTCAGCCTAACCGACTATACTACCTAGGCGCCCCTTGACCTATTATTAAAGAAACTTTGAATATCAGTGGTTAAACATCATTTTGGAGGTCATATTTCATAAGGAAAGAACAGAAGTACAAGCATAAGATTAGAACCATCCTTCAATCATGTTGTTTAGAAATAACAAGTTCCATTTATGAATTTCTTTAATCACTTTACTGGTCACACAAAACTGATATGTGTGAAGTAATGAAGCTGGATAAATAATGGTCTTGCTTTAAGAATATCATAGCTGTTAAAGGTTGTAACAAATGGCTTTAACAAAAAGTATGATGTAGTCAGAAGAAAGGAGCACACAGAACAGAGAGTGGAAAGTGGGGGTAAGATTGGGGAGGAGGGAGAAAGATTTTCTGACATGGAAGGTTTCATGGGTAAGTGGCTTAGATGGAGGAGAGTGTTGTGGGTTAGGGAAGAAATTGGCAAAAGTTTGGATGAATAGATAAGCAGGATAGGAGGTTATGAAGGGGAGAGTCAAAAAGGTGAAATTGGAAAAGTACAAACCCCTGTTCACTTAGGTTCTTCTCTGCCATGCCAATTCCAGATGCTAATTGTGGAGAAATAAAGAGCCCTGTAAATGTTTTAAGCATGTGATTGACATGATTTGAGATAAGGTTTCAGATGAACCTTTTAGCTAAAATGTAAATTTAGATAGAAGCATGAGGGACGCCTGGGTGGCTCAGTGGGTTAAGCCGCTGCTTTCGGCTCAGGTCATGATCCCAGCATCCTGGGGTCGAGTCCCACATCGGGCTCCTTGCTCAGCAGGGAGCCTGCTTCTCCCTCTGCCTCTGCCTGCCTCTCTATCTGCTTGTGCTCACTCTCGCTCTCTCTCTCTGACAAATAAATAAATAAAATCTTTAAAAAAAAAAAAAAAAAGAAGCATGAGGATGTTACAGTAGAAGCAAAATTTATGAGAAAATTAAGGGTATATACACACATATATATATATAAATTATATAATTATTATATAATATGTATTTTATTACATAACTTATTAAGTATTATATAAATATATATTTTATTAGATATATAGATATATTTTTGAAAACATTTATTTAGTAAAATAAAAACTTACCAGAGTTTCAAATAAGAATATGTAAAGCAGGGGCACCTGGGTGACTCATTCGTTAAGCATCTGCCCTCAGCTTAGGTCATGATCCCAGAGTCCTGGGATCGAGCCCCGCATCAGGCTCTCTGCTTGACAGAAAGCCTGCTTCTCCCTCTCCCACTCTCCCTGCTTGTGTTCCCTCTCTCACTGTATCTCTCTCTGTCAAATAAATAAAATCTTAAAAAAAAAAAAAAGAATATGTAAAGCATGTGTACCTCAAGGTGGAACAGATATGTGCATGTTCATGAACTTTTGGGGGTGTTTGTAAAGAATAACATACACTGCATAATAGTAATATTGGTACTTTTCTCTTTACAGTCGTAAAGCACAATCTTTGTCTATTGATAGTACCTACAGATGGTACCTCCAAATAATACCTCTGTCCTCAAGGAAATAAATAAATTTGTATATATACATGTGTACATCATCATGCTTTTTGCTATTTTGTAGAGACAGTCTAAGAATGAATTTGAGTATTTCAGTATTTAACTATAACTTGTGTCATGAAAAGTAGAGATAGTCTACATTTCCATTCTTCTTTTTTTTTTTTAAGATTTATTTATTTATTTAGTTGACAGAGAGATCACTAGAGGGCAGAGAGGCAGGCAGAGAGAGGGGGAAGCAGGCTCCCCACTGTGCAGAGAGACCAATGCAAGGCTCAATCCCAGGACCCTGAGATCATGATCTGAAAGCCAAAGGCAGAGGCTTAACCCACTGAGCCACCCAGGTGCCCCTCCATTTTTCTTAATCTCCCAATTCTTCTTTTCATGCACCTTTTTAAAAATTAGCTGACTTGACAGAGTCAAAGGAAAACCAATTTGTCTTACATAACTTCCATTGTTTCTCTTAGCTTTTGTTTTAAAATTTCATATAATTTTTAAGATAATTTAGATTTAGTTTACATATTTCTTTAAGTGACATTGTATGTGTGAGAGAACACTGTTGACTGAAAATTTTTATATACACTTTCTATAATTCTGATGCTTAAGTATTGGTCCTAGTGTATAAAAGCATATGTTGCATATTTAGACGGGGAGATGAATAAATGGGGGGAAATTATTGAAAGTGTAGGAAACAAAGAAATATTAAAGATATAAAACAATTAGAAAATTTTATTTTCAAAACTATTTTTACTCAGAGAATGAAGTAGTTCTATAACTCTTA